AAATGTTCCGATATATTTGTTGTATTGTACTTTTTTAGCGTTTACGTGTCATGCAGTTAGACCCGGTGAAGGATCGTGGTCCACCATTATTGACAATGTGAGGTGTTTACTATGCCGATGTAATCGGCTATTCGTAAAGTTTACTATATATTTATTCTTCATTTTTATTTTTGCAGGAAAATTCTATACAATTTTGTGGCGGTAGCCTATTTAAAGGCACAGAAATATCAATTAAAAGTATATTTATTCATATGTTGATATTACCAGGGCTGTACTTAGACTAGTATTCTGAAGTCGTTTGTCTGGGACTTGTGCTTTAAAAAAATTAAAAATCTTAACGAGTCCTGGTTTTAGTTTAGGTATTGTGCCCCAATCACCTATTAAAACTTATTTATTTATTATCATTGTATTTACATTTGTTGTGTATAAATTAATTATTGGTTTTTATGTATAATAAAAAAAAAAAATTCCTCTTAACAATCAAATCTAACTCTTAGGAAAATAAAAGGCCTGGAAGATTTGGTTTGTCCAGTACTCTCCAAACCTAAGTACGGTCTTGGATGTTATTGTTCTATATATGCACAAAACAAATATTTTTATTTTTATTTGTGTTACAGTTACTTGTAGCAATGTGTATAATGTCTCTGTTGGTTGGATCCTAACAGAACCTGAATGTTGGAATGACTACTTGAAACTTGGCAGTGGAGTAAGTTCTCTTTTTATTTAGTGTCAATGGTTATTAGTTATTGCCTAAATTTGGAAATTATTTTTTAGCTTATAAAACAACTCCAAATAAAAGATTTAAACCATGACGCTAATACCAATAATACTTATATGAATCATGTGAAATTTGATGATAAAGTATACTCCTGTGCCAGTGGAATAGATTTGGTATTTATACTTATTAAATATTGCAATTTAATAAATAATTTTAAACATTTTTTTTTTTTGTATAGGATGATTTATCGTCATTTGAGACTAATAAAACTAATAATAAAGCACTACACCAAGTAAGTAATTTTTATCAGTTTAAATTAATTGTGCAGTTTAGAGATGTAGTATATATAACGATTTACTAATATAGTATTAATATTAATCACTTGATTAATTTATGTTGAGTCCAAATTTGTATGTTCTTACTCATCATTTATGAGCAAATGCAGTTTTAAATAGTAAAAAAAAGTAGATAATTCATTCTATATCAGAGGTCCCCAACCTATAGTTCATGAACTATCAGTAGCCTCTAAGATGTTGTATAATGGTCCACAAGTCATACTTACAAACTTTAAAAATATTTCATTTTTTCTTTGGTGTGTGACACAAATACCAAAGATATGTATCACCAATTTCATATTGTGTGTATATTACATTGTTTATATTTCATAAATTTTTATGACAATACCACTTATTTTATTATTTTAACCAATAATCTAATCTTGTTTGTACAGCATAATTAGTTTATAAGTAGCATACAAATAAATAAATTGATTCTTGTTTGTAAAAAAAAATAAGGTCTAAAATTTAGGTGATCTGTAATGTTCTCTAAATAGTCCGTAATGTCAAAAAGGTTAGGAACCACTGTTCTATACAGAAAAGTTTTTTTAATATTTGAAATTATTAGTTTTTTAGCTTATTTTATCTTGGAATAATTTTTTAAACTGTGAGAAAAAATCTTTAGATATTTATATGTTTTAATTTTAAGATCCACTATTTTTTCTTATAAATTATCAATAAAATAATATTTTTTACTTTTTGTTTTTAATAATTAATGTATGTTAAAGTTTTAGAATTATTAGTTTTTTATCTTGTAATAGGTAACACAAGTTTATCTTTTTATTTAAAAAAATAATTAAAATTTGTATATTAAAGAATATTTTGATGTTCATTGATTATTTTCATACATTTTTTTTATTTTTAAGAGAACACAAAAAAGTTTCTTATAAATTAACTTCCCCCAGGTATAAAACATTTAAAAATTAATAAATAATTCAATTAATTTATGTGAAAACATATGTGTATATTGGAATATTCACAGTTATTATGTAAACTAAATTAAACTTATTTAGAATAATACATTTTAAAACAAGAAAACACGAATCTTATTATAACGTTAAAATTATATAAATTTATTTATACATCAACATTAAGACTATAGACTATAGATTATTTTATTCTTGTTAATAAGTTATTTTGAACTAGACTTGTTAAATAAAAGTAAAAATAATATAACTATGAAAATATATTACTTTGAAATCACTATAAACTTAATGTTTCCATTATAGATAAAAATTTTGTTTTATTTTTTAAATAGAGATCCAATCATCGAGTTTATACAATTTTAACAGATGGAGTGTACTTATTAACGGTGACAATTAATCAAGATACCAGATATGATATAAAGGATGATCAATTTACTGCCAATTTAGAAATTTCAATGAAAGGACCACATGGATATTTATCAGCTACAAATTGGCCACTACTACATGTAATTAACTTTAACAAGTAAATTGTACATGAATAAAACTTCATTTAGATTTTACATTCTTTTAGTTTTACGGGTTCATGTGTTTCGTTTATATATTTTTTGGTTTAACGTGGTTAGTTTTATTATTTATGCAATGGAGAGATTTGCTTCAAATACAATTTTGGATTGGAGCTGTCATTCTTTTAGGTAAATAACTAAAATCACTATGAACTCTAATATAAAATATTTACCACCTTATACATTTCAGGAATGGTTGAAAAAGCAGCTTTTTATGCAGAATATTATGAACTGAACCTTACAGGTCATTTAGATAATATCTATGGAGTAATGACCATGGCTGAAGTGATTTCTTGTTTGAAACGGACACTTGCACGTACTTTAGTTATCATTGTAAGCTTAGGGTTTGGTATTGTTAAGTAAGTTTTTGGTAAAATAATGATTTACTATAGTGATTGCATTTAATTATATATTATTATTTAGGCCTAGATTAGGTCCACTTTTACCAAAGGTCCTAGGAGTCAGTTCTTTATATTTAGCGATGTCATTAATGGAATCATATTTTCGATTGTCAAGTAATATGACTGCAGAAATGTTATTAGTTGAATTACCGTTAGCTGCTTTAGATTCTGGAATTGTCTGTTGGATATTTGCTGCCCTAACTCAGACAACTAGGGCTTTAAGACTTCGGAGGTACAAAATAAATGTTTCAATATTTATTATATTTTTTTTTTATCAAATACAATATTTAGAAATTACTATTATTATATGGTTTATGATATTATTGATTAAAATAAACTCATTATTCCAAAAAAATATTTTTAAAAGTTGAATATTTTATTTAGGATCTATTTTTTTAATCAATACTTTGACGTTTTATTATATTATATGTAACAATGGTTCTTAACCTTTTGTAGATCACAGGCCCCTGATCAAAAATTTTTAGAAATCACAGACCTCTTTGTCAATTTTTTTTTAATTACATTTCTTTTACTATACGTTACGTATTGATGTATAAGTATGTTAAGTGTTAAGGCTACCGCGGATCCCCGACATAAGTATCACGGACCCCCAGGGGGCCACAGACTACAGGTTAAGAACCGCTGATATATAATATTCATTGTACATATAAGTATGAAGTATTATTTATTTACACATTTAATTTTATTTTAAGAAATGCAGTTAAACTCCAGTTATATACACATTTTACCAATGTTTTGGGTTTTACTGTTATAACCTCCACTTTATTCATGCTGTACTCTATAAAAACACAAAGATTATCAGATTGTGGTGGTGTAAGTTAATTTAAAAATTTTAATTATTTAATAAATATTAATATTTTTTTCAATATTTGTAGAATTGGAAGGAACAATGGTTAGATGATGCATTTTGGCATATAGAGTTTTCTATAATATTACTTGTGATTATGATACTCTGGAGACCAACTAATAATAATCAAAGGTTATTTATTATAGCTTTATTAAAATTTGGAATATTAATTAATATTTCAACTCTTATTTTGTTACATAGATATGCATTTACTCCATTGTTAGATGCTCCTGATGATGATAGAGACGAAACTGAATTATTTATTAAAGATACTTATAATGGTGGTATAAAATATTTATTATTGTATATTTATAAAGATTTTTTTCATTGTTAATTACATTTTGTTCAGATGTGAAGATGAGAACCACTACAAATACATCCAATCACAATTCTAATGTGACACCGTATAAAGATTATCCCGCTTCAAATAGTAGTACAAAAAGTCAAACACAACTTGTATGTATTTAGTTTAATTAATTATTTTATAGTTATATATTATAATGTTTAATTTATTGTAATTAATAATTTGCAGGATGATGATTTAAAATGGGTCGAAGAAAACATACCAGGTTCATTGTATGAAACGTAAGTTATTAATATTTTAAATCAACTAAACTTTTTATATTTTATATAAAAATTAATACTGTATTTGAATTTTTTCATTTCTAGTACTGTGCCAATTTTGGATTATAGTGAGGTAAATATTTATTTTAATTTAATTTTGTAAAGTATAACATGTAGTATTTTTATATTTTCAGGATGATCATAATACAGCCATTGAGCGGTCAAAACTACAATAAACATTTTGAATTTAAGTTTTATATAATGCTGTAGTTCACCACATAAAATAAGCTAAGTATAAATGTTTATTATTCTGTACTACTATTTACTTATAATTTGTTTTTATTTATTTTAATTTAACTATTATTTTGTTATTGGTCACTACAATATTGTGTATTTTAATATCCATATTCCTTTTTAATTTATGTTGTTTTAATTTTAGTCTTAAAAGAAACATTGAATAATTACGAAATTATGTAAATATAAAAACAAAATTATGTAAATAAAAAAATATTTACTATTCTGATTAAAAAAAATGATAAAAATATTTTAATAAAGATTGTATAAAATATTACAAATTAAAATACAATATGTTCACTTGATTTAAAAAATTTAATAATTCATTGATCAAAAAAATATTTCATTTAAGAAATATTCTTGACAACGATTTATTTAATGTAGCTTTTACATTTGGTGAAGCTGCTGATGATATCAATGCTGCACCTCTCGGATCTTCGCTCAATCTGGTTAATATATGTTGAGCGGCTTGACTAAACATACATAAATATTTCTAGATACATCAAATCATTCTTCAATCAGGGCTATAGTTTTTTAAGATTCATTACTTACCGAGAAGTAGGCGTATTGTCAAATACCATATTAGTAGCAGCAGTTATCACTGCATCTCTGGCATCCGTTGGTAAATGAAGAGTTCCGCTGACCCCGAGCTTATCAACCACTCTGGCTAAGAGACGGCACGCTTCAGCACGAACGATTCGATTTCCATGTCTAAGAGGTTTTATATAAAAAGTATTTTCTTTATTATATACACCCAATTTTGTTTTGACTGATACGAAAAGACTCACTTTATCCCTTTAACTGTGATCACATGCACACATTTTACGGGATTTACGTTGTCGACCATTGCATTCAAAGCTTCTGCACTTTGCACTCGAAGAAATTTATTAGTATCCGCTGTACGCGGAAACAGTGCCGATGCGATTTCTTCAACATCCTAAACAAGAGTGTTTTGTTTAAATATTTATAGTCGAACGTTTATTTATTTTCGTACCGGTTCGACTGATTTCGGTACGTAGGAAAACATTTTCTGTGCAGCCGTACATGCAGCTCGCGCTACTTGAGATCGAAGACATTTGATATGCTTAGCCACATTGCGAGCGAAAGGTTGTAAAGAACCCGGACGCAGTTCTTTACCATGGAACATAGACAGCCGTGAAATATTTTGTAGACCCGTAACAACCGCTTCCCTGTCATAACATTAGTTATTTGTTAATCGATCAAAAATGACACAATTAATTTATTTCCTGCTTGTTTAAAACAAATATAGCAATCATAATTTAGTGCTCTATCTTTATGTGGGAGGAATGAGGTGGGTTTAAAAGTTTTATTTTTTTTATTTCTGGTGAAGGGGGCTTATAAAAAATATTAATTTGAAGGAAAGATAAGAGAGTCTAGCCTCCCCTCCCCCTAACCAAAGTTATCCTTATAAATTTTAATACGTGTCATCACTAATGTTATACCATTCCGGGCTATTGATTTGAGTAGAAACCAAATGTAGAGCTCTTTGAGGTTCGTTGAACGGAGTGAAATTTGGTCCTATTTCAGTAGATCGTTTATTTTTAAGTTTCGTTCCAATAGATCTCCTCCTTTCGGCTATAGATGCAGTAGGTGGCGCCGATGGTTGCACAATAGATTTCGTAGGTTTTACTTCAGCTACAGGTTTTTTACTGTGATCAAACAAATAACAAAATAAATGCATTGAAAATCTAGACTTTTAAGTGCAAAAATGTCTGTGCCTTCCTATCTTATTGGAGATACGTATTAATTTATCAAAGCAGTTTAGTGTAAGCGAATAATTGTTTTTAAACTAATCTCAGTAATCTCATAATATTTTTGTATATGATTAAAATTATAGTTATGTTTTCATATTAAGTTAAAAAAAATAATCACTTTTGCCAAACTACCAAGATATAACAATTGGATTCCTTTACTGTCTAAATTAAAAATATAAATAATAATAAACACAGTATGTTCATTTTCCCAAATCAATAAGGTATTCTAGCCTGTTTCACCATAGTTTCTAGTCTAGTCGTACTGCGTGTAATATCGTATAAGTATATAGATATATGTATTCATATATTGTATTTCGTCTATTTGTATTTTTTATAAACTCACTCGTTTTGCGACTGAACGTCTGTGCCTGATGTTATGCTCGTGGTAGAACACTGAGGCTTAACGTAGTTGGCCGGTTTGATGAGACTTGAATCGCCATAATTTTCAGACTGCGTTGGCAATTGTTTATGATCTTCAATCACTTGCTGCTGCTGAGGCAGTAGCCGATCATCGTAATTGACTGTCCGAGTTCCCATTATTGCGCCACTATCAGCTTTTTCGGCCGGAATATTTGACGACGTTCGATTGGCCAGAGTCTGTCGTCGAACGTCAAATTCGGTGTCCCACGATTTAGTTCCGTTGTCATTTTCACTGCTATTGTCCACGGGACAAATAAAAGTACGATGGGAATCATCGTCGGCGTCAGACATTCTTTTGTTGTCATGTTCCTGTCTGCTGATCTCCGGCACCACGGTCATGGAAAACTTTGTTTTCACGGAAGACTCAAAACTGATTAAAAAAAAAAAATACAAGTACAATTTTATTTATGTAGGTATACTACGATGTAATAGCCAATAGGGAAATTATTTTATATAGGTGCGTATACCTATTACATCAATTTCCTTATTGTAGTAACTAGAAGTATTGTACTATCATAAATTTATAGTTTATAATTTATACCTATACGAATTAAACTTTCAACTGGTATGTAATGAATGTTAATATAAAATTTATTATTATTACATTTAATATATTTAAATATAGATATGTTGTCAAAAATGTATAGTAAAATTAAATGATACAGGTTAAGACGTACAGTTAATTATATCTTCAGAATTGATTATATTTATTTTTAGTTAGAACTATAACTTTCTTAGAATTGAACTTTGTTGTTCCTATTTTAAGTAAGGTAGGTATAATAGAAAATTGGGTGTTTAAACACCCCCCAAAATATTTTTTATTTTTGTAGGATTATTTACTTATTCAATTTTAATTTCAATTATTATATTATACTTTTAGATAGGTATAATATTACATTATGTTTATAAAAAATCGGCTAAAGTAAAATAAAAATTTAATACTATCAAATCAAAATTAATAATAATAAAATTTGAAAAAAAAATACTAAAATAGGATTTAAAAGTAAAATAAAAATATACCCATTGTGTATTGGGGTATTTCCTATTATATTTATTATATATTTACTACATTAATTAATATCTACTTTTCAACAAATGATTATAAAAAACATCCCCCAAAACTTTTTAATGTGTACGGCCTTGCTTAGTTCCCTTTTATGCAGTGCTTTAAAATCAAAGATATAATAAGAAAAAGATTTTTTGGTTTACAATTTAAAGTTAACTATAGGCACGCGTGTTTAAAGTAAAAGAGTTTTAAGAAATTAATAAATAAAAAAACTCATACATTTATTCATATAGGTGCGCAGACTTTTTTTCAAGGTGTGTAGAAGGCTGCCACTGGCGCCCCCTGAAAGTTATTTTAAGTATGTAAAATTCTGGTAAAAAATATACATTAATATTGAAATGTCTTATTAACTATTTAATTAAAAATGTAATATTTACTTAAAATTCAAATTGAATTACAAAATAAAAATTAATAAAACCTAAAATTGTTTGAGTAATACATGGAATCATATAACTTGTGTAAATAAACAAAAAAATAGTCGTAAATGAAAAAAAAAAATAAATAAATTTAATAAAAATTATAACTGATTATACCATTTTGAGTTGGATAAATTTTTTTAAATCATTAGTGATGTCTTTGGGATTTAATTTTACCGCTATTTCTTGTTATATACAGTTATCAGTATTAAGTCATTTAATCTTTCTTGAAGCTTAGTATTTTTTAATTTGGATTTCACAAAAGTTAATTTAGAAAACGATCGCTTACATGCAGATACGACGTGTGACTATAATATTACCATACAAACTTTAGTATATTACGAAATTGTTCAAAAATACTTTGTTTATTAAAATATTTTAATCATTGAAGCCAAATGCGAAGCTTTTATCGCCCAAGTTAACTTAAATTTATAGGAAAAATGCAATAATGTAAATGGTCGGCTGGCTATCATTCCGTTGTCCTCATCACTGTCAGTATTTATACATTTATAGTTAATGTTTTTTAAAAATAAATTAGGTACAATGACTGAATATAACAATATAATATGATTAAAAATCATATAATTTTATATTTATAAACAAATGTTAATACCAAGTATATTGATTTGATTTTTATTTATGTTTGATATGTCTGAAAACAAGGCTCTGTGTTCAGGGGAGGTATACAGCTGCATAACCTGTATACCCCTTACGCACGCTTATATACTTATTAATTAAATTACATTCGTAAAAACTTAAAATAAACTCGTCTCCATTTTGGTACCTACATATATTTAGGATCAGGTGGTCTTATACGCATAGCCGAAAATATAGTCGCAAGTGTGACTTAAAGTTAATATCATAATACTTAGAGTGGTGACATTTTCATGAAAAATACCAAATACATATTATATATTTATATAGTCATTTAAAAATAAAAATATGTAATGAAGCCTGGCCATTATGTTCGGTACAGTTATGTAGGTACATATTATATTTATAATATAAAGATCTTACTCGACGATTGTCGGCGCACACGACGGTACGTGCTTAGGTACTACGAACACGGTGTGATTCAGAGATATCTGTTTACGGTTCAGTTTATTTCGTTTGTCCCGGTGCACGGAATTGTGAAATCTATATCTGCGTTTAGCCGGTGGTAATGTAGTAGTAACCGGCGTAACGATGCAATCTTTGGGCGATGAAGACGCCACGAGGCTACGACGACGATGAGAAGGAATAGGACCACAACAGAAACAAGAACGCAACATAATCATTACCGACAAAAATTATTTAAGTGTATAAAAAAAAAAAAAAATGCCATCATCGGCCATCATTTGTAATGTAAAAAACGGACTGCCGATGTGCCGAACACTACATTTTCTAATACTCACGCGGTAAAGGTATAATGATAGCAAATATCGATATGTAAATATCTATATATATATTATATTATACCTAATATATTAATAATATGATATATGCTGTAATAGTGCAGAGGGTCCTGCTATACCTCTTCCGAAGGGGAGTGGACTTTTATATGCACGCATTGGTGTATATAATATATATATATGATATTGCATGCAGTTATAAGGTTATTATGGACGCACGCGATTGATCGGATTTTTAAATAAGGTCAACGGTCAACTCGCTCCAATACAGCATGGACTGTACGTTTGCTATTTTACTCATCTATATTATGTAGCCTGGTTTACACGTGAATACACAATACCATTGAGTATATTATATACTATATATACTCAATGATAATACACATGCAAGGGGACTTGTTGATATTTTTACCTTAAACGGTTTGACCCGACTATGTATGCTGGCTACATCGTTGATATAACTTATCAGACATTAATAGGTATTCTTTACAATTTAATTATTTAAAAGTAGTATGCCATAAAGCCAGTACCTAAGATAATATGCACTAATATAATATAAAAAATTACAATGTATAGTCTATAGGTATATGATTTAGAACAATTAAATCTAGTACCTAAACCCATTTGATTATATAATATTAAAATTGGTACCTATTTAGATTTCAAATACCTACCAAGTATACTTTTTTATTTATATTTTATTTAAGCATTTTAGGCTTTAACAAAACATTAAATGTTTATTGACACATTAAAACTAATAACTATAGAGTATAGACCATGGTGATTATTGATATAATAATACAAATAAAACTAACATAAGGTCAAGAAAAAAAATATATCGTATAAAATAATTAGGCTCTACCTATATGTCTTAAAAACAATAATATTTTAGCATCAAAGACTTAACAAAAAAATCTTAGACTGAAGAGACTTTATTGGCGTTTAAAAAAGCTTTTAATAAAAATAAATTATTATTACAGTTGGTTTTAAATTTAGGTTTATAGAACAAATCAGAATAACGTCTAGATATTCCCACAAGGGATTTTAAATTCATTTAAATGTATTATTTATATTTCATAATTGATATTTGCAGTTAATATAGTTATTTAATATAACATAAACGTATATTAAATCTATTAAATCACGCCTAATGGTAGAAGAATCAAGACCTATAGGCCTATAGTCTTAAACTAAAAGGAAAGAGTTTTTATAGAGATAGTAAAATGGGTAACATAGACAATTCTTTTTAGAAATGTACATTGAATGATATTAAAATGGTTTAAGTAATTTGAATAATTATTTGACCATATTAAAGAGTTAAATTCTAGATCAGATGTGACAAAAGGAATTATATATATTTTTTAAACACAAAAGTCCTTAATAGGTATTTCTATTAACAAAACCTAATAGCTTTTGCAGTTATTCGCTATATTTATGATTTACTTTGAAAGACAAATCAGATTCAAACAAATACCATCTAAATCTGTGATAAAATTACATATTTCGAAAGGATAGTTGAAAAATAATTTTTAATTTATTAAAAAACTTAAACCTACTGACAATTTCAATGTACAGTGTTAAACTTACTATATTAACATTTTTATTATTACTTAACATAATAATTTATTTATGACTGGTGTCCCAGATTTCTTAAAATAAAATATTTTTATAATTATTTATATTATTTTAATTCATAGATTTGTTTCAATTGGTTTTATTGGTAATAACCAGGGCTTGCATTAAAAAAAAATTGTTTTACGTTATTTAAAATTAAAACGTTATACAAATTTTGGGTTTATCCGTTATTCAGAATTTAAACATTATTCAACTTTTGCGTTTATCGTTATTCAGAATTAAAATGTTTAATACATTTTATGAATTATAACTATTAAATAATTGGAAATTAATTATTTCATTTAATGATATACTATATTTAACGTTTAGTGTTATGTTTTATATTATGATATATCATATATTTCGTTTTGTGTTATTTAACTATTTGCGTTTATCGTTTTCCATTATAATTAGTTACAAATCTCAATCGTTTTTTGTCAAATATAACGTTAAAATCATAACGTTATTATAACGTTTGCAAGCCCTGGACTAATAACTAATAAGTAGATATGGTATTATCGACTATGGTTAATGAATACATCGTTTATGATAATAGATAGTCAAAATAAATTTATAGGTACCTACTAGTTTTGATTTACGAAAATTATAAATTTATGATAGATACATTAAAGATATAAAAAAATATTAAAATTCAATAATATTATACTCCATTATACCAATATTATTTAATCTGTAATAATACTACAGATAATATTGTGAATAATACCGACGAAAACACGGTGTTTGAAAGTTGGTACCTTAGTAACTTTATCATTTAAGATATGTTATCAATTATCATATTTTTTAAAAGCATTATCTAATGTTTGTTTATCGTCATATGTCGTTTTGTCGTAAAGCGTTCAGCCGTTCGTCGTGTATACTGTATAGTTATTTTTCAAACATAAATTTAATTTTAAACTGTGTTTTATAATTTTGGTTGCACATTGAACATTTTAAATATTACAAGCTCTAGTTTAAAATGTTATTTGTCGACAATTAAAATTAATTTTTAAGTTGCATTTATTACTATGTTATTCTTTATTATGTGGTTGTTGATTCCAACCATATTTTCTGCGTACTTTTCGGGTCGTCTTATGTATCTAATCTTACAACGTCTAACTAATTCACAATCAATTAAAAAATCAAAACAACCAATTCAGACTTTAATTGTAATTGGTTCAGGTGGACATACAGCTGAAATGTTACGTTTAATGAATTCTATGAACAAGTTGAAATTTATGCCACGTTTGTATTTATTAGCTGATACAGATACAACAAGCCGGAACCTTGTAGAAAACAATGAAAGTGGTTTAGACTGGTCCATAGCCATTATACCACGATCAAGACATGTAAATCAATCATACTTATCATCTATTTTTTCAACTATTTATGCAATTTGTATAACTGTGCCTATAGTTATATCATTCAAACCAGATTTGGTTTTATGCAATGGACCTGGTACTTGTGTTCCAGTATGTCTGGTTGCTTTTATAATGAAATTATTCCATTATGCAGATACATCAATTATATTTGTTGAAAGTATCTGCCGGGTTAAATCATTATCTTTAACTGGAAAATTAATGTACTTTATTGCTGATTTAATAATTGTTCAATGGCCTGAATTGAGACAAAAGTATGGACAGAGAGTCAAATATCTTGATGAAGGATTGAATTCATAATTCTATTGCTTAATGTAGATAACTTAATATATTAAGTTATTTATGTAAATTATTAATATATATATACATGTTAATATTATGTGGAAACTGTGTTTATAAATTATTTATTTAATTTCTAATTTTTCAAAATCCTTACAATTAGTATTAAATAATAGGTAATATGATCATTAGTAAAGAATAATGACAAACTTTACGTTTACATTTTATGCCTATTATTTATTTGTAAAATTATTTAAGTTAATGTGTTGAATAATATATAATATGTTAATATATATTCTGTACTCACTTTTTAAATGTTTTATCCGTTTTCATATTCTTATAACTTCTCTAAAAAAGAACAATATAAAATTTAGTAATGAAAAAATGATTATTATGAATTACACAAGTTTTAATAATTTTATAGTACTTAATAATATATAACCAATATTATTGAATTATAATAATTTTTTTTAATAAACAAATATTTAAGTACCTAATTTATATTCAACAAAAAATAAAAACAACCATGCTATAAAATGTGATTATTTAATTTTATATTTTGAATTGTATAAAATGTGTGCATACAGTATAGTATTCCTAAATTAGTTTACTAGTTATTTACTATTTAGTATGGGCAAAATGCTATCAAGAGTTGAAATAACCTTAAACTTGAAAATATTACCTTCTTCAATTTAAGTTATGGTAACCTATGGGCTATGATTAATTACTAGTCAAGAAATTATTGGAGTTATAATAAATTAATCAGCTATTTATTAATATAAAATATATTTAGACATTTATTATACATATACTATATAAGATACCTAACAGTATGCTATTTTATTTTAAGATAATTAAAATTACACAAAATAATATAAAACTAAAAGCAACTAATTTTTAGTATTCCTCACTATTTAGTTGAAAATGGTCTTGTTGTAATAAATAAAACTACAAAAATGTTTTTAGTTATTATTTAAGTAACTAATACTATCTTAAAACTAAGTAATAAAAATTGCTAATCATCTATAATTATACTACTGATTATAAATAACACTATTTATAATCAATGGTAATACTTTTTTAAGTATCATACTATAGAAACAAAAAAAGTGTGATTTATAGACTTATAGTGAATAGAAATAATAATATAATTGCACTCATTCAGGCGCGTATTAGGGATGTCCGATAACTAAAAAAAGTTTTAACATTGATCAATTTTTTTTTTATGTCCAAGTCGACATTAATTGATTGTACGTAATGATTGACTTAAGAAAAAATAAAATTGTGATTAAATATTGGAGTTATAAATAATTGCAGCCTTGCCGCTATTTCTAGATTAATAAAGGATAACCAGGATTCACCCGATCACTTTAGTCTAGAAATTAGTTTTAGTTGTTTGAAGAAGATCAATTATCTATCTTATAGTTACATCACAGATATCGATTGTCTCTTAATCCCAACTTCAGCATAGCATGTTTTCCCCTCTTGTAATGTCCGCATCATAAACTAAATAGTTTAAATGAAAAGGTATCGACATTTTTCTTATTGATATTCTTAGATCTTGTAATTAGAATTATTAATTTAAGTCGTACTTCAGAGATACTAACATAATTAAGGTAAATATTTTAGAAGACCTTAAAAGTTTATTAAGTTACGATTTGTTGAATTGTTCTATCTATTTGTATTGATATATAATTAATAATTTATAAGTTTTTTTTTTTGACTGCGTAAAATGCATATAAAAAGGTTAATTATTAACCTTTTATTTAATTTTATATTTATAGGCACTAGTTGAATAACCATAATCATATTTACAGAAATACGCTTGTTAAAAATAATGGCAATAATGAGATGTTGTAATTTAGGAGAACTATTTGAAATAATTGAAAAATAATTGGAAAAAGTGAAAAAAACAAATACAAAGTATGCCTTCCTTTTGCTCAAAATAGAGATTTTTCCATTATAAATGTACTAATTTTGTTAAAAGTGTATAATAAGTTTTATTAGCGATTTTAGAATCACAATATTTTAACTTTAGATTTATTTCAAAAATAAATATTATCTTTTCAAACCATTATAAATATGTTAGGTATTGCTGTGATCTATACTAAAATAAGAAACCATCAGGTTTATATTCTTAATGCATATACCTACTGGCCACTACCGCATAGGGGATGTTTACATTTGATAATCCTGGATACGCGCCTGTAGGCTTATAGCTTTAGTTGGGTGTATAATAGTATAAGTTTATTGTTTTATAAAAGTAATAGGTATACTAACATTAAATGAATCGTTGGTTCTTCCAGTACAAAGAATAGCGTGTGGAGAAAAAACTCCCTTATTAAGTGATTTTCTAAAAACAAAAAACTTTTTTAATCTTGTTCTTTAATTAACAAGTGTTGTTAAAAATACTGGGAATTATTTAACATATTATATACCTATCATCCAATTTTCTTCTAAAAGTTGTATTTAATAATGGACCTACGGGAGCACTTGTAAATTGTTTGAAATCTGAAAAGTTTTAGAAAAAATATCTAATAATTTGAAAAATTGAAACATAAAAAGTTATTGATAGTGTAGGTAAATACTTGATTGTCGTAAGGGTGGTAAAATGTTTGGCCTCAAATGATTGATTACTCGTTTTTGATACAAATAATTACCGGAGCTTCGAAATTGGGTCTAAGAATAAAATAAAGTTTTAATGCCAAGTTAAATGTAGAGGACTCAAACAAAATACAACATAGGTTTTAAAGAAATAGACAATATAAATACTAGGTTTATAAGCAATAAGCAGACGTGTACCTATTTAATAACAAAAATTGGGGTTATTCACCCTCGGTCAAAACTGTTTTATAGATTTTCTGTCAGATACCATAGGTCTCGCATGGTCACTAGTAATTTACCATTAACCTAAAATGTTAAATTTTCCTAACTATTATTCTATATTGATCCAAGATGGCCTTATACGTATAACATAAGATAATATATTGTATTATCATAGCTAAATAAGTTATAGTTATATATGCATATAACATTATAAATAAAATGTCAAAAACCGATATGCACGTTGTGATTATTTCGTATAAATAAAAAACATTTAATTTGACCTAATTTCTTAAGCGTCATAACTTTTTTATAATACCCACGTTTAAGTTTAAAAGTAAATACCTAAAATAACACGCAAAAATGCTAATTTTTAACCTCTTTATAGCTATATGTAGGGCAATAGTGTTTCGTGATTAAATTTGATGGTTTAATGTTGACCTATTTATAAATACCGTCACTATAGCCGGAAAGACTTGGACGTTATCGGACACCTAAATCTAAACAAAAACTATGTACCTACTAACAGTACTAACACACAGGTCGATTCTTATTTCTTAAATATGTATGACGCAATTTGTTTTTAAATACGAAATAAGAAAAAAAATAGTTGAAGTTGAGTATTAAATAATTCAAAACTTAATAATAATAATAATAAATCCATTAAATTCATTTTGCAAGATTTAATTTGGTGTTTTTGACTTATATATTTAGGAATTAAAATATTTTATATTTTAAAACAATACAAAACGAGTTCCAGTAATACGAGTTAGGTAGAGTATCATTTAATATTTACTATGTAGGTATATCAAATAGAATAAATAATAATAAATCTATTGTAAAATCTGAGTAGTTTCAGTTAATGAACATTTTATAGACAATTAGCCATCTTTGTTAGCAAGATGCATTGGACTACAATGAAGAAAATATAGTAGATAGTTAGATCAGGAAAGAAGAATAAAAAATATTTAATAGATAACTACTAACATGTTATGTTATTAATTGAAGTCAACAAAAACTTGAGATGTGTACCTATATTTACATTTTATATAGGTACAAATTGTTGTAATAGTTAATAGATTTTCTGAAATAATTTTAGCTACGAAACTTGTTTCGTACAACAAAACTACATCAATTGCAAATGCATTAATTCAAATTAAATTAGATAAAATATATAGATACCTACCTTAAATTATTATAACTAATCAGAACTCTGTTATTAGGTGTATGTAATCTAATATAAAGTCAAGAACCCAAACCACTAACAAAGTGTACAATTAATAATTACCTTAAAATAAACTTTTGAAGTTGTATCTTGTGGGACAAACTTAAAAGTTTTTAAACGTGAGTTGAAATTTTGAGATATTTTACTTAACTTCATTCTTAACTAGTTTATTTTCTATTTATGTTAAGTCTTGTGTGGAAAAATTTATAACCACCAAGTCACAATTAACACGTCATAATTAATGTATGTGCGCCAATTTAAATCCAATATTGAAAGTTATAACTATAGTTAACTATTATTAAAACCTAAATTATAATAATTGTCTGATAGTAGCGGTAATTACTATTAAAAAGCGCTAGGTTGGTCAAATTAATTTATTAATTGAAGTATGTAGATATATAATAAATTACGAGACTAAAATTGTCTATATAAGGCATTATTTCATTAAAATAGTATTATTAGAGCATGTATTGAGGCATAAAAATATCAAAAATAAAACAATAATCATGCTAAATAAATAATGTAAAATTTACGAGATAAATGTGATTTTTACTTGTCGTGAAAGTGGTAATTTTATTGACGTGTTTTCCACTTCATTTTTGGGATGTTTCGGTATGCTTAATGCAGGCTTGATTGGAATTGGAATACCAGTAGACTTGTGAACCTCATTATGGTCATCAGAAACATCAGGACTTCGAATCTTAATAAGCTCTCCACCAAACGTTACTCTTCTTGGCGTTTTTGGAGTTTCTACATCATCTTCGTCATCATATGATGATACTGAAGAATCTTGACCAGATGATGAAGATATTCTATACACTTCACATAACACTTCAAAATCCTAGAAGGAAAAAATAATTTAATGCAATCCTAAAATTAGAAGTTACTTAAATTAATATAATAAATAATAATAATATGATTTAACCTGTGTATATGTTATAAAGTATAGATATTCAGTATTATATATTCAGTGAAACCTCTATTAACAGACACCTCCCAATAGCGGACGTTTTTTTGAAAAAGAGGACATTTTCACTACTTTTCAATGGGAAAACATCCAAATAGCGTGCATTTTTTTAATAATTATTTGAAAATAATAGGTATTTACATTCATATTCTCGTACTCACGTAATAATGTAAAGTAATAATCACGATAACAAATCTGTTAGGGCCGGTAAGATTACGACGAATTCGGTTATCGGTGAAACGTTTATGACTTATTATGAGTTATGAGAATTATGGCATACAAGTCAGTGACGGTTTTCATCGCGATGACTACATTAAAAAGAAAAAGGTTGTCGCTTCGCGAAAAGGTTGACATTTTAGATTTCCTACTATAAAAACAGCGGAAAAAAGAATTTGTGCACTCACAGAAAAGTTCACCGATTTTTTTCTCACAAAAATTATTTAAAAAATATATGCACTTAATTAAATAAATAATTATTGATTATAAAAATATAATTTAAATAATAATAATTTGTAAAAAAATAAAAATGTAATAATTTACAATAAATAATAACATTATACTTACATACCTACATGTAAACATACGTACATAGTACACTATTTAATTTAACTTAAACATTTTTCTACAAATTTAGGCTTAATGAATTTAAAAAATATATCCCCTCTGAATAACGGACAACATTTTGGTGGCCGAGAGTGTCCGCTATTCAGAGGTTTCACTGTATATATACATTTTCGGAATGATTTATTGTATACATTAGGTACTTAATAGTATAATACACTTAAGTAATTTTATTTGCATAGGTACTAATAAAATAAATGTCTGTTCTGTTCATAATATTTAAAGTTTTATTTATTATTATTATAATTGTTCTTATAAACTTACTTCTGAACAAATGACATACATAAAATTTGGTTACTTAGCATAATAATTGTCGTATTAAAAAATAATGAGTAATGAGGAAGAAATTGTTTTATTATGTTGCGGTACAATTTGTATTACTAAATTTTGTACCCCCCCCCCCCCCCCCCCCCGAAATTGTATTTTGTATACGTGCCTGTATACATATACAATTCATAGACGTAATGGTAATTCAATTTGAAATGAAAATAATAAATTATACTTTATATTAATAAAATAATACTTTGACACGGTATATATATTTAACCTTTATAAAGATCCAACAAATATTTATAGACATAAAGTATATCTACCCATTTAAATATTTAATTAATATTTTTTCAGTAAGTTTTTATTATATTTATATGTATATTAATACAGCCAGTACAGGTAATACTTATCACTTATATAAACTTGTAGTTATATATAAATTTATACGTAAAATATTTGACATCTACTTAATGAATTATAAACTTACCAATAAATTGGTAATTCATATTTCATATTTATACAGATTATGGATATTTGATATATTGTAGCATTGGTTATTAATACTAGTAAGTAGTAGATATTATTAATTATCAATGGTTGAAGGTTCCTAGTACTTTCTGGCTCTTACCAGAAAAATACATACATTATTCAGATAAAATAAATTGTTTAAAATTTAAATAATTATTACCTTTTTAATGATTGGATGAAATGTTTCAAGGTAGTGGTCAAATTTATTTCTTCCAACAATTTCTTTAACTCTGTCTAAACAGTAAACAGCAGCTTGTTGAAATGTTGCTTGTACCATCTTGTTAGATAGGGCAGTTACAAGGTGTACAAATGTGGGTATGGCAATCTAAAAACCGAAAAAATAAACTAAAACTTATACCTAAATTTATTGAACTTAAATTTTAAAGCTTATTGACTGAAACCTCATTAGTTGGGCTCAATATGAACTTATTCCTTAACATTTGCTATAAATTGAGACATATTGTTTAGTACAAAATTGTACAATTTTAATTTAGTATAAAATGTTTAGTGATATTTAAAACATTTACCTAATAGTAGTTTCTATTTATTAGTATTTTCCTCTTTTTTTTTTTTTTGTGAAATCAACAATATTTAGACCTTATCAATATATTTTTAGAAAAAAATCTATTTTTCTAAAACAGCATTTTATAAATATGATTTTAAAACTTTAAACCACAAATGATTTAATAAGGCATAAGCCCTATAAACTCCGCCTTTATATTATTGCACAATTAACATTAAATATCTGGGAAAATTATAATTTTTTTTAATTTTGAAAAATAAAAATATATAGGTCTAATATTTATATATGTTCATATTGAATTGTATAATTATATAGTAGTAAATCAAGTTTAAAAATTTTTTTTGCAATTAATATGAATATTAGAGATTATTAATATTTATTTTCCACTTACAGGTCGTTCTCCATTTCTCTTAACGATTTGCTGAAGTACTACAGGAACGCATTCCATAACATTCACGGTGAGACTTGATTTGGCACCAAATACATCTAGTCCCTGTACGATCATGGACTTGAGAACGAATTCGGGGTCAGCTGAGTGTTGAACGTAAACCAATATTGCATCCATAGAGCTGCTTCTGAGGGCCGGTGAAAAGTGTGCAAGATTTGTTATGACAGCCGGGAGTATTGTCGGGGACATCAACGCGTCCAGTTGTGGGCCAACTGCAGGTATAACGTAAGCTAACACTCGTGAACCATGAAGTCTCACCTGTAACATATTGCATAATATAATGCGTCACATGCTAGTCCTCAATCAATTCCAGTCTCAAATTTTGAAAATTCACGTTTTTCTTTTAATTTAACTTTTTAGAGCTCGCCATACACACTCTGAGACATATTTTCTATACAGTAGGTACTAAAAAAAGGTAAAAATTTATTCGTTATTTATAATCCGGATCAGCATTAGATGTTATGCGGAAAAATTAAGTATAATTTTTACGCTAAAATTAAGTATAAAGAATTGACAATGAAATTTTGATTGTATAAAATAAATATGCATATTATTGTAAATTGAAGATTTCCCACGACGACTATAATATATAAACGAGTTTCTATGAAAAATTTAGCTTAAAAAAAAATTGCCGTATTTAAACATTTTATACCAATGAATGAATGATATATGCCGGAAATCGTATAGAAAATTGTATTTGAAAATAAACGATTTACATATTTAGATATGTATTTATTACTACAACAGAAATGAAAAGTTTTTTGAAGATAACGTGAATAAGATGACGTAGTACCGTAAATATATATCATATAATACTAAACGACGCTTAAAAATAAAAACAATTTGAACCCGTGATTCGCTCAAACTAGTCAAATTTTACTATAATAATGCTCCGGAAAAAATTATTTTCAATAACCATCTTATCATTCTGTACAATAGCGCAAATAATACTTCGTGGACATCAATACTACATCTTTTTATATTATATTAAGCTCATTCGCGATCCATCGCACACGATGCACCGACCTGCCATTCGGGATGATGCAGTCGGACGGCCAGCTCGGCGAATACTTCCTGTCGGTCGACGTTGGCCGGGAACCGGTTCTTTTTGATCACGTATTGCCAAACGGGCGTCAGCTCCAAGTGACAGTGGCCGGAGCGAAATTTTTCCGGCGTGGACACAGGGTCGGCGGCTAGTCGGACATCCGGACGCAGTGTGGCGGTTTGCATGATTGTTACGATGTGCCGCTGCGGCGTATCTGTAGCGGTACAGCGTTGGCCGCGCGAGAAGGTACGCACCGACAACAACAATTTTGGTTAGGATCTATATGCATTAAATATAGAAATTTGTAAAAATTGCATTGTTAATAATAATTATTATCGTGAAGTATATTTTTACGGTGCAACAACACGAGTGCAGGCATCGCACACCATCTATGACCGCCCGTCTTCGTCGGTTCGCCCGCGCGCAAAACGCCTTATTACAGTGTTGTAGGTAGGTGTCTTATATATATATAGCGTTTGCATAGCAACACAAATCGTGTACGTATGTACGTATACAACTGTGTACCTACTACCTGTATGTAACTAAGTGCAATGATGAGGCGTTTAGTATACGGGGTGAATCGTTGTTTAAGTGACATATACTCTACTTACTTAAGATTTTATAGTCTACAAAATTTATATATTTATGTCGTATGCTTGTAGGGATATTTCCGTTTAATCTTAGGTGTATGGGAGCGTATTATATCGACTAATTAACATCATAGTTATTTATTCGTGGATTCGTAGTCATAAATACATTTAATAATTAGACGAGTCGAGTATTATATAATACACTGTTATATTGACAAGAGGTTCTCTGGTGAGGTTTGCTCATCACTTATAGCTATTATAGGGATCATATCTGCTCATTTGAATCATAAATGATTATTAACACACAAAATATGTTTGTCTGCGATATCGTTTCATTGTAAAAATAAATGACTATCGAGCATTGAGATTTTTAGATGATTATAATAATTTCCTTCATAAAACATTGATTGTCACGAAAATAATTAAAAAAAAAAAAAAAACACAGTTTAGGTATAGGGTTTTTGTAAGATGGTTCTTTTTAAACCACGTAGAAAAAACATTTCAATGAAAAACTCAAAAATTAACTAATAAAATTAGTGTGACCACTCATAATACGAATCACCCCGTATATTATAATGTATTATAACTTATGAGGTTATAAACCTACTATACAAACACGTCGGAATAAATCACACGAAATATAACACTTAACGCTCGGCGACCGACGCACATACTTCATGTACGGGTGAGCAGAGGGACACTTTCTTATGTTCCCTTAACCACCCCACCACAAATGGTAGTCCGTGCAGGAATTGTACATTTATGCAGGACACATGCGCGTCAAATGTCAATTAAAACTAGGGAGTTAAGAAACACCCACAAACCATAATATGTATAAATGACGTACACTAACAGAAATATACAAAATTAGTAGTTTATAAGTACAGTGTATATTGCACAACTGTATAAAAAACAAGTAAAGAATGATATATTGATACACCGCGTATGCTGACTCCCATTTTTTTCCTTTAATAAATAATAACGAATTTATTCAAATTATAATTTTTGAAAGTTAATTTAAAAACCATATTTTAACCTAACCTAACTCATTTTAATTTAAATTTGGATACTTACATAACATTTTTCATCAAAATCATCTTATGTGAATATAAAAAGATTCTCATTTGAAGAAATTAAATTACTCTAGGTATTGCTATGCTATTGCCATATGATACTCCTTAAATGGTATACAAAATTTAATTATCTAAAAATTAAGTCATTATGTATAGGTACTTAAAAACCCAGAACCTAAAATATTGATTAAATTGATTATTAAATTAAAAAATAGAGGTTAGCACTGAGAATGTTTAGTTAATCGCCGCGTACATAATAGGTATATAGGAGATGTTCCTGCAGTTTTCCGTAAAAAATCGACTTTTCCGTTTACCGCTAATATGTCAATATAATAATAATAATAACAACCACAATAATTAATAATATTTCCATTTTCTACCACAATTAATTTTAATTACGAGTTAAATATTAGAATTTGGTAACCCCCTAATTATACCTAAAACATAAAGAATGCATTGGCTGTCTCAATAAAATTTTATCAAGTAAATTGAGTTATAAAATACTTAGATTGTACTTTACAAGAATTTAAATTAATATCAATTAATAATTAGTAAGTATGTATGTAAAAATCAAAAATGAATTGGTCAAAAAACATAAATTAGTAAAAATGTTTTGAAAATAATAGATATTATCAATTTTCTGTTCATTATATACCGAGGTTCTAAAATATAAGATTTCGGAACAGCTTTCATTTGGGCAAATAACCCAAAATAACATATTGTTTAGGTGAATATTTACATATAATTTGGGCGTGCTTATATATATCCGTTAGGTGAAATTTATATGAACTTATTCGTTAATTTATAAATTTTCCCTAACGACCAGTTAAGTTAAACCAGATAAATTTTAAAGTTAATATTTTAGGATCAAAATCAGCTTTAACTATAAATTATAATTATTAAAGGAATTTTACTATCAAAAATGTTTCTTAGAACATCTAATCCCAATTACTAATGATATACCTACATATGTTCAGAGTATTACAATATTTAAGAACAAGATAGTCAAATTTATTTTTTTTCGACAAAAATTAACAAACAGTGATACAAATAACCCGTAATACTGAATTATAAAACTGTAGGTACTAATAGAAAAGTAAATTACTTAAAGAAATACAATTATATTATTATAAATTTATAAAGTATCAAAGCTGAAAGTCTCCTTACAGAATTTTTTTACATACCTACTATATGATTATTGATTAATCATAAAATTCAGACTTAATTTATTCATTGCTTAATAATGAAATACACTCGACTCCAACTACACAACAGTACGAGTAAGTTCCTGGTTTTTGTCAATTGCTGTGACAAGGGATATTTAGATGAAAATAAATAAGTAACTATATTAAAACACAACATAGAAGTATAATGAATAAGGAAAATAGTATTCAAATTTTTCACTTTGAATGTATATCAGCTATGTGCCATATTAAAAAAAAAATGCAGAAATACATATCACTAAGTAACATATACGTATTATTTATAGCCTAATTAAATAATAATTGAATGTAATATTTATTATTAGACTTATATTTTGATGACATATATTGTTGTTTATTAAAACTTATACAACAAAAATAAATTACATTTTTCTGACTTTATTATATTGGTAACTAATAACAATGATATTAAGTAACTTATTTATAAAATAAATAATTTATAATAATTAACTAAAGCTAACATTATCACATTTTATTTTATATTTACGGGTTAAGTTAATTAGATTACAGTATAATACAGAATATGTTCGTGGGTATAATAACTTGGTTTCTTTTAAAAGATTTCAATCATTACTTATACAATAAAAAATAGGAATTATTAAACAATACAATACAAATGTTTTGATTTTCAAAATATATATCATAATAATATTATTAGTTATATATTACTTAGGTACTTATTGGTATAGGAAAAAAATAATAATAGAATTAATAATTATAGATACAAAATAAATAATTCATATAATAACACACATCCATTATTTTGGTGTTAAGATATTAAGTAGGTGGGTAAATATAATATTTTATTCTTATAATTATTTATTTAATTAAATTTTAAATATTAGTCATATTTTTTTTATAATTAGTAGTTGGTATTGTACTTTTTGTAATAGGATGTATGGCATAAACAACCACAGAACACGAAACAATACATACAGCTGCTGCAGTCTGCAAAGTAATTGGATATCCAAGAAATACCCACGATAATACAGCAATAAGGACTAGTTCAATTGCTGTGGCAAAAACTTTTATGATTGAATTTAAGCTGTGTAGCAGTAAACTAGTTACAACACCATACATAGCACTATTTATCACAATAAACATGACCTAAAAAATAATGGCAATTGTTTTAATTAATTAATAAAAAGAACAAAGAACAATAAATAATAATGTAATAAATTTCATACCATATAGTTTTTAAAAATGTCTGTTTCTGAAACACTGCTTTTGTTTTCATTATGTTTAAATGTTATCCACAATAATAAATTACAAATTATTGAATCAGTATACATATATATGTTTTGCAAATAGACATTTACATTTATACCCTGACCTTTTTTAAGTAAATATTCATTGTAGACACCAGCTAAACACGAGCAAAGTATTTGAGTCAACATCAACAATATACTTATGAAAAAACTATAAGACTGTTGTTGGATATTGCCCTCCATTTTTAACTCTTTTATAATACATCCAATAGTCAAAAGGACTAAAGATAACCATTGAATTTTGCTGAGATCTTTTTTAAACAAACACTGATATACGACACCAGTGAGTATAACCCTTAGTTGAAGAAGAATAAAATATGTAGTTGGGTCAAATATTGATAGGTTCACAAATGCCAAATTATTATAAAGGCAGTAGAGAAATGCTGGCACCATGTAAAGAACGAGTACTGATAATAAAAATCCAAATATATATATATAAGTATAAAGTATACATATAAAATGTAAACATTTTGTTAATAAAGATCAATAAGTACTGACCTGTATAGTTTTGTCTAGTCTGATCGATAATACTTCTTAAAGGATTGCTGAAAAAACAAAATATACAATCATTAAAATTTGGGATGAATGATAATAAAATTAATACTTAATATCTATTGTTATACCTAGATGATATTGTTTTTATTTAATCTATACCGTAAAAATAAAAACAAATTCCATTAGCATCAGCAGCACAAATAGATCATTTGGAAGGGGATGATATGGATATTTCATAATTGTTACAACTTATATAGGTTAAACAAACCAACATTTATACCTTATAATTTATAAAAGTCCATGTATTATGTTTTTTATTTTTTATTTTTCTAACCAATCAACATGGTAAATAAAAAAATAAAAGATTTGGAGGGATGATATAACACCTATATCATCTCCTAGTTACGCTATTAATCAGCATATTACATGGATATGTATTTTTATATTATTATTTATTGAAGTTTAAATTGTATTTACCTAAACTATATTTATTTTGAACTTGTAAATGTAAAATATTAAGACTGTGTTAATAATTTAAAATTAACATAATTATTTTTAATTTTTAACTAAATAATATTGGTTTTATTATATCATTTCACAATTAATGCTAAAAATATTGTTTTTAAACAAGTTGTATATCAGTAGCATGTATCAAAATATCAGATATAAATTAACAGTAATATAAAATATTAGTCCACCCTAAATTAAAATATAGTATTTTTAAGTAAATAAAAATGTTTACAAAATTCAATAATTTATTACTTTATATTAATTTAATGTAACTCGAGTTTGTTTAGGATTTTATTATTGGATACAATTAAAAATCAAACCCAATAGTGTTTTATAAGTACTTTATTTTTACAAAGAATATAGATTTATACAATATACCTATTAATATAAATTGCAATGAATAAGACTAAAATTTGTAAAAATATAAATTAAGTTTGGAGAGCTATTAATAATATTAACCTATTATTATTTTATCTTGGTAAGTAAATATAAATAATATTATACTATAGATATTTTAAAAACTTTACTTACTCTTTACAAAACAAAAAAAAGGATATAACTAGTTTTGTGACTTCAGTTAAAATAATTACTGAGACAATATTATAGTTGTAAATGCCTTTTTCTTGTGATAATTTTACTAACAATCCTGCAAAAGAAAAATAATTTTAATATATTCAAATAAAATATTATACCTACTTAGTGTTTATATCAAAGGAAAAATATTGACTTAGTAATATCCATGCATGTCCTAACTGTTAATGGCCCCAAGGCCTAGGAAAGCATATTTTTTGGTTATTTTTAATGAGTTATAAAAAAAATATATCTATATAGT